TCGGTTAAACGAAAAGCCAAAGCGGCTGTTGAGTTTGCATTTGCGCCCGCATTTGGGTGGTGCGTTTCTGTTAAGGCTGATGGTTTCCCTGTAACGCCACCAAAAGAGGGGTCCCCCAAAGAAAGACACCACATTGAAGGTTTTAGTTCGGAAGTGACAATGTAAACCAAGAATGTGCGCACGTTTGTTCATGGATTCATGGAATCTGCAGCAGAGCGATGCATCAAGAAATCCGGCTTTTGGAGCGCCTGTGGTTCATATTTGAACAGTCTGCTGGGCTATTCCTATCTGATCTACTTCCCTAGCAAGCGTTCAAGCCAGCAAGCGACTGTCTCAGGTCCACGAAACATTGTTGACTATGAGTAGCTCATATCAACATAGCCTCGTCACACGCAACAGAAGTTGTTGTCTGTTTAGACAAGTAGTGTATGTTTCGAAGAGGGACTCGAAGACTTGCTAGAAGGATGACTGGTGGCGTGACTGAATGAAAAGTGGTTTGGAGACCAGTGAGGCCATGACGGAATGTGCTTCTTGCAGGGGTTGCTAAGGCAAAAACTTCAGTGGCAGGACCTACGTCTTCCAAGTCTCTTTGAATGAGAAGGCTTGGACTTGGTCGAGAAAGCTTTAGAAATCCTTTTGGCAAGGCTGTGCAAAGCTTGGGTGAAATCGCGCACAGGCTCGCCCGTGCAAAATTATTCGGGGCCAGACCATTTTGCAGCAGGAAGGTCAAGTAGCTTTGTGAGCTTATTCGTGTCCAACTTTTTCCCGTCCATTTCGACCGCAGCAATCCAGATAGGCGACATGGGGCAACTGACTAGCATATGAAGGATGCAGCCAATTGCAACTTTGATAATTATACTGCTTTGTGTGAATCTTGGCCGGAGGAAACATCACCTGTGTGTGTGTGTGTCTGTGAGTGTGTCTGTGTGTCTGTGTGTGTGTGTGTCTCTGTGTGTGTCTGTCTGTGTGTGTCTGTCTGTGTGTGTCTGTCTGTGTGTGTGTCTGTGTGTGTGTGTGTCACGTCTGTGTGTGTCTGTCTGTGTGTGTGTCTGTGTGTGTGTGTGTCTGTGTGTGTGTGTGTGTCTGTGTGTGTGTCTGTGTGTGTGTGTGTGTCTGTGTGTGTGTGTGTCTGTGTGTGTGTGTGTGTGTGTCTGTGTGTGTCTGTCTGTGTCTGTCTGTCTGTGTCTGTCTGTGTCTGTCTGCGTCTGTCTGTGTCTGTCTGTGTCTGTCTGTGTCTGTGTCTGTCTGTGTCTGTCTGTGTCTGTCTGTCTGTGTCTGTCTGTGTCTGTGTGTGTCTGTGTGTGTGTCTGTCTGTGTCTGTCTGTGTCTCTCTGTTTCTGTCTGTGTGCACATCGCAGTATGTTTTTGCAAGACACAGCCTAAGCACTAAAAGCATGTTTCAATGTTTAAAATGGCGTTGCCATCCCCAACCGGTGACAGCGAAACACTCAAGGGCTGCATGTTCGCATGGACGTGCAGGAATGTGTTGGCCAGCAAGACAGGTCGCAGAATTGAAGCAGTGCATCTCTAAGAAGTTCGACCTAGCGCCACGGCGAAGCGGGAAGCTGACGGAAAGGCAGATGCATTTGAGTGTTTTTTCTGAAGGGTCAGTGGCATCTCAACGGCTTCGGAAGTGTCGGATGCCAAAGCGCTCATAAGATATTTGCATTGTCCACGTCGAAGTCCTTTTTGCGCAAGCCCTTTGGAGATAACTCTTGGGTGAAGTAGTCCGTAGGGGGGCTGGGGGCCAGTTGAGGTCCCAGCGGGACCTTTGCCCATTGATCTTTCAACGCTCAAAGGCATCAACCCATGGGCTTAGTTCTTTCGGACCGATGCACATGGTAAGTAGAGCTAAGCGGGCGGGGTTTTTCGGCTCCCGGGCACGGACAAAACATCGCTTCCGTCTATGAAGGTCCCTGAGTTGGTTTTGAATACATGTGGCTTGATCAATATTCCTGGCCTCCAAATGACCATGGGCTTGTGCGGCTTGTCCCCTTTGGTGGTGAACGTCAAATCTGTTTTTGCTACGGCTTCCTGAATGATTCGTCCCATGCCCTTTAGTGGTGAACGTCAAATCATTTTTTCCCCCCGGCTTCCTGAATGGTCCACTTGTCCCATGAAAAGTAACAGGGCTGTGTGCACTTCCATGTCAGCTGCTGGGAGGGTACCCAAAAAGGAAGAAGAACGGAAACGCTTTTGGATCAACACGCGTCACCTCTGGGCTCCCCTGGGCTCCCGAGCCTCCAGAAGCTCTCGCCTCGAGCGTCGCCTCGAGCGTCGCCTCGAGCGTCGCCTCGAGCGTCGCCTCGAGCCGCCTCGAGCGAGCGGTGGGCCCGAGGAGCCCGAGCTCTTCAAGGTGATGTACCGCCTCAGGCCGACGGCTTAGGGGGAAGGGCCCAAGCAGGGCGCCTTTTTATGCGCAGTGGAGTCCGCAAAGTGCTTCCTCTTCCTTTTTTTTGGGGGGGGGATGAACCCTCCCACCAATTAGCTAACATGGGAGTGCACATATTTTTGTAGAAAGACTACTTTCCTCTCTTCCATGTTAGTTGGTGGGAGGGTAAGGGTTCCCCTTCAAACTCAACCAGCAGAAAAGGGTGTGCCCCTTTTCCTGCCACTGGGCATCTGAGGAGCCCTTTCCTTTGACATGCGCGAATTGCACGGAAGACGCCAAGTAATCATTTGGCAAGCAGCTGGCCAGCCGGCTGTAGCATGAGAATCCTGACTTGGACGACAAGCATCGCCTGTTTGATGGGAATGTTGCTCAGGGGTGAGGTGAACCTACTTCCAGCCGGGGTTTACATGATTCTGGTTTGACAGCCCAAGCTTCGGAGCAGAAATCTTTGAAAGGCGAACCGGACGTAGGCCGGCAATCTAAAGGCTGACCCTTCAACGAGCGTATTACGTCACTTGCCACTGTTGGGGCAGCCGAGTCACCACCGTCACCACCTTTGGGCAGGCATGTTCTTCATGATGGAGAGTGTCAGGAATCGGAAGTGTTTGCCTGCCACATCTCGCTGTCACAGTGCTTCAGAGCTCAGAGCGTGCCTGACGTACGGCAGATGGGCTAAATATGGCTAAATATGTTTGCTTCAGATTCAGCATATCGGTTGGTAGTTCGGTTCAGTTCGGGCATGTGCAACACACCTGCTTGCAAATGGTCCAAATCTGAGCGCAGCAAGTTGCCGCGCTCCGAGCAGCTTGTGGCGGGATCCGGATCCCGACCATTCCCGACCTGCGGTGCCCAAGAACTTGACGAGGGGGGGGCGCATTCGGTGTGTGATCCGCCCACGTGGAACGTCAGGAAAGGTCGGGGAACCAGACACGGGAGGGAGGGTACCAAAGCCCGGGGAACCAGAACCCGCTAGTGAAGAGGCTCAGAGGTAGAGAGGGTTGTAACCACGACAAAGAACATGTTACAACGACAAAGAACATGTTACACTACTACTACTACTACTATTACTACTATTACTACTATCTTCTTCCGCCATCTTCCCGTCAGCTTCCCGTCATCTTCCCGTAGTCTTCCACTCTTCCTCTTCCCGTCAGCTTCCCGTAGTCTTCCGTCATCTTCCCGTAGTCTTCCGTTAGTCTTCCGTCAGCTTCCCGTAGTCTTCTGTCATCTTCCCGCAGTCTTCCGTCATCTTCCCGTCAGCTTCCCGCAGTCTTCCGGCATCTTCCCGCAGTCTTCCGTCAGCTTCCCGCAGTCTTCCGTCAGCTTCCCGTCTTCCGTCATCTTCCCGCAGTCTTCCGTCAGCTTCCCGTCATCTTCCCGTCATCTTCGCGTAGTCTTCCGTCATCTTCCCGTAGTCTTCCGTCATCTTCCCGCACTCTTCCATCATCTTCTCGTCAGCTTCTTCCCGTAGTCTTCCGTCATCCGTCAGCTTCCCATAGTCTTCCGTCATCCTCCCGTAGTCTTTCATCATCATCATCCATCCTCGCAGTTAGAGGTTAAGGTTAGGGTTAGAGGTTAGGGTTAGAGGTTAGGGTTAGACGTTAGGGTTAGAGGTTGGTTAGAGGTTAGGGTTAGAGGTTAGGGTTAGAGGTTAGGGTTAGAGGTTAGGGTTAGAGGTTAGGGTTAGAGGTTAGGGTTAAAGGTTAGGGTTAGAGGTTAGAGGTTAGGGTGAGAGGTTAGGCGTGTCAAAAATCTGCCGCGGGACCCTCCCTCCCCCCCTCACACTCCCCCTGACCACCACTTAGAACACGCCTCGCCGGATTCCTTTCTATTGACCTTCTTATTCCTTCCTATTCCTTTCTATTGACCTCCTTCTTATTCCTTCTTCTTCCTTTCTATTGACCTTCTTATTCCTTGCTATTGACTTTCTTATTCCTTAGTATTCTTTTCTATTGTCCTTCTTATTCCTTCTTATTCCTTTTTATTGACCTTCTTATTCCTTCTTATTGCTTTCTATTGTCATTCTTATTCCTTCTTATTCCTTTCTGTTGTCCTTCTTATTCCTTCTTATTCCTTTCTATTGTCCTTCTTATTCCTTCTTATTCCTTTCTATTGACATTATGTTTCCTTCTTATTCCTTTCTATTGACCTTCTTATTCCTTGTTATGCCTTTCTATTGACCTTCTTATTCCTTGCTGTTGACCTTCTTATTCCTTTCTATTGACCTTCTCATTCCTTCTTATTGACCTTCTCATTCCTTCTTATTCATTTCTATTTCCTGCTTGTCGGGATAAGCCCGCAAGAAACATGTCGCTGTAACGTTTTTTTCCTGCCGTGGTAACATTGCACCTTGTCATGGTAACAATATCGCGTTTTTGTCGTGGTTACAACCCCCCCTCAGGGAAGAGGGGTACCTGGTCTGAGGCCGCTGCCAGAAAACAGCGTCCTGAAAGCGCAGGGCCTCCAGAGCGAGTCAGAGGTCTCCGTGTGCATCACATCTCAGATGAAAACGCTCGCCCAGTTGAGCCCAGCCAAAGACAAGCGCCCATGAGTGACGGAAATTGAGTAGGGCGAGAAGTGTCGGATGGATGCCATCTTGTGGAAATGTATGTTTGTTAAATGGGTTTAGGATGCTCTTCTACAGATGCATGACCAGCCCCTTGGATATGACTGCTGCTGCCACGTCCAACCAGATCAATTGCGCAGGGAAGTGTTTAGGTTCCCAAGCATTATGGTTGGCGATACTTGCCCTGACCCACTCTAGCCCAGCAACCCAAACTGACAACGTTTGTTTGGAGGTGTAACTCAAACAGTAACGATCACTGGGCAGCAGATTTCCGGGTTGGTCGTCCTTCCGATCTGCATAGGGATGGGTTGCTTTGCTGGTTTGAGGGTGCTTTGTACAGAGGAGCACCCGAGCCACTGAAATTCCGATTTCGAGAGGGGCTCGCTGCCTTGGACTGAGAGGCAAAAGCGTGGGAGTTCTTCAGCCAACAGCTTGGGACGTTCCAATGGCGGGGCTTTTGGTCGGGAGTGTTGCACAGAGGTGACGCCCGGAAGTTGTGGGGCCCACGGCCCACAGGTCAGAGGCTTCAGATGGAATGAGGTTCCTGGTTGTTTAAGACACCTCAAGGCGAAGACCTTCACTGATAGCGCGTTCACATTGCACCCTGGGCTTTGGCTCGGAGAAGGCCCTCGAGCAAGCGTTTGCTACTCCTTCGTCAAACGTTCTGTGCTTGTCCTAGCTGGAGATAGGGCAAGTAGGCTGCACGACACGTAACTTTAGGATGGGCTTCCGGGCAAATGCCCCGTGAGGTCGGAAACTCGTCATTGACAGATCTCTGCACCAAGCCTTTTTTGAGGGGTGATCCTTCCCGCCTTCCTGCCCAGCTGGCCAATGACTCGCCGCAGCCATCGGTTGAAGCGACCTCGCTGGGTGATTCAAAGCCATTTGCAGCTGTCAGCTTCATCGAACCCCCCCTGAGCTGTGACCCGACTCGCAGCGCCACTGGCACTTGACACCTCCAGGTAGACAAATGGTACAGGCTCCACACTTTTCAGGACCTTTGTCGCTGGCGGCTTCTGTCCACTTGCATTGCTGCGCAGTAGCGATCCTGTCAAGACGGAGGCGGTGTTCCTTTCCTCGTCCCGGGTTGGTGTTTAGATTACAAGCGTTTCTTCACGCAGGGACAGAAGCACCAGGGACATTCGAAGCCAATCATTCGCTCCTGCCTGGCGTGCTGCTAAGTCACGCAGGGACGCCCAGATTTCTCTCGCTGTGCAATCCCAAGCTTGGTAAGGCATGAAACTCTAGGTGGACAAGCAACAAGTCTAATTTCCAGCAAGCACTTTCCGTCACAATCTGTGTGAACCGGGTGTCCAAAATAATGATGTCTGCCCCTTCCTGTCTTGGCCAATAGGGCTGCAATAGGACAATGCAAGGAACATTTGTTGTTTTATTACTTTTCCAGTGCTAGAGAGGGCATGGTCAATCAGGATGTTTTGGTCAGTATGACTGGCCTTGAAGGGAAGTAACCTGTGTGAGCTTGTCAACGCTTGATCCTAAAAGAACATCTGTAGGAATAAACTTGCTCTCTCCGGGTAGCTGATGTTTTGAAGATATGTTGTGGCATTCTGTGGAACTCTGAAAGCAAGTGGTACTGGAGGAAGAAATGTTGTCTGATTTTTTGGTGGTGTGGGGACGGAGTTTTGCACTAATCAGACCGGGTTTTGCAGGGGTGCAAACAGTAAATGAGGGGTGCTAAACGTCCCAACCTTGTCTGAATTTGAAACTAGTCCGCTAGTCTTGGTGAGGGGATGCAGTGGAGAGCAGGTTCGCACAGAGTTATCACGCACACACGGTTGAGAACCCTTCGACGAAGCAATTCTTGGTGGGAGATTTGGTTTTTGTATTCCGACCGGATATGGACTCGATGGAGCAAGAGGCACTGAGCCTTTCTCAGAGATGTTGCGCGCGGTTGGCTTTTCTAGGTCCCTTTCCCTTAGTTTGGGCAGGGTTCCCCTACCAAAATAAACCACAGAAAAAAAGTTGGTACCCTTATTCTAACCTCTCAAATCTGGAGGACCTAGTTTATCTTTGCCACATGAAAGGATCTGAACTTGGATCTATGGTCGGCCAAGGTGTTTGGCTTTAGCTTGATGTGCGGTCAGTGGGCATGTGATGATATTTTTGTTCCAACTGGCTGGTGTTCCTTGTGTCCCTCAGGCCCTCCGTTCAGCAACTTGATAAGTTGGAAACATGGCTATGGATGTCCCTTTTCGCGACAAAGCGGACGAATGACAGACAGGTCGGCCTTTGCGATCTGTCGGTGACAGGTCGGCCTTTTCGATAAAACTCGGGCGCAAAATTCTCGTGACTCCAATCCTGCGCCCAGGTCGCCATGTCCAGAAGCGACCAGAGAGCCGCTGACTCAGCAAACTCAAATCGAAAGCGTGGCTTTCGATTCCAGCTTTGGCCAATTTGCTCGAGGTAAGTGTGGAGTTTTTGTTTGCAAGCTACATGGTCCGAACTAGGCAGGTAAGCAGCCCAAGTGGGCCAGGTCTTGCGGCAAAAACTTTGCTCAGGCTTTCAGGCTGAAATTGAGAAGTGCGTGACCAGCCGTGCTTAGTTTGCACGCGTTGGCAGTGAGGCCAAGTGCTCAATCTGCGTTGTTTGTGATCTGAACTCCGCTCGCCCTGCCTGAGCCTGCAGGAGCACCTAAGGAACGGTAAGGAAAGCTTTGCCAGGAAAAACACGCCTCTTTTGGTCAAGTTCAAGTTTTGTTCAGTTTTCAAAGTCGTTCCAGCACTTTTGTTCAAGTTCATTTTTTCAGTTTTCAATGTCGTTCCAGCACCGAGTTTCTTGCAGCACGCGTTGCTTGCTGGCTGTTTGCCACTTTACGGGGCGGAAAACCAGGTCGTTCAACGACTAACTCATCACACATTGCCTTACTTTGGGGCGGGGTTGCATGCGTCACTGCACATGAAGGCCAAGCCGGGTTCAGTGTTGCAACACCCTTCCATCAAGTCATAATATCGGTGTTCTGTCAGGCTTCTTTTAAAACCAACCTCAAGGGGTTACCAACACACAAAAACCAACCGACCCACATAATCAGCACTCCGCAGCAGTCTTCGCACGCTGAGTTAGTTGTCAAAACCATGTGCCTGTCTCCTACCGCACCTCCACGAGCCTCGTCATACTGCAACCTATGGCCCAGCATGGATCGCCAAGGATGACATTCAAATGCTCTTCTTGATGCGAAGCAAGTGATTGCATTAAACAACTGTCCAGAACCTCACTTGCCCCAAACCGAGCTTGTGGTTTCCAGTAAATATGTACTCACTTGGACTTTAGACTTTGGGGTTTGGACCATTGTAGTGGATCAAAGTTTCTACATGTTCTGAGCACTGAGCTCCCAGTGATTGGTCCAAGATGCCGCGAGAGCGGTTCCACAAAAGGCTTGCATGCCCGGTTCGAGGAAAAGCCAGATCACACCCAGCAACAAAACTCCAAGGACCCATTGGTGGGTGTTTTTGAAGGTACCCATTTTGGGGCTGACTTCCGTGATACCTTTTGGAGGTCACCTTTTGGAGGTCCAACGTCCATACCTTTGCTCAGGCTGACGGTCTTACCGGGCGCTTGCCTCAGAGCTGTTTCGACACTTGGCCGTCTGACTGACTTCCCAACGGAAACCAAACAGAAGGGAAGTAAAAAAAAACACTGAGTTCAGAAACACAGGCCCCATGGCCCGCTCTGAAACCAAAAAGGGATGGGTCATTCGGCATCATTCTTGTCAGTTTGCTTGGGTGGGAACGTGTTTGGGTACAAATGTTGCTTCGTAGCTGTGCATCCCCAACGGAAACCAAAAGGGATGCGTAATTCGGCTTCATTTTTCCCAGCTGTTTAACACCCAGAGGGTGATTTGACATGTCTAGAGCTGCTGCAACACTGGTTGCCCAAAATATTTACTCATCTTTATGGCTTTGCCTGGTTTTTTCCGACGGTCCCAGGTAATTCTAGACGACCTGCGCCAATTTCACGCTGCATCCTTGACTATTGGGTTGGATCTTTAGACTTTAACTTTTTGGTTGAAATCAAGTGGAGTTTTCCACTAAACCCCCAAAAAGTGATTCACTTCTTGCGGGGTCAACATCCACCAAGCATCGATGTTGAGCTTCACGTTCTTCACCGCTGGCCGTGCCTCCGGGCTCAAGTTGGGCGCAGAACCTCAACCGATTTGGCGACGCATCGCGTCGCAACGAAAATTCAGGCGGTTCCTACTTCAATTTGTGTTTTAAGGCCTATATAATTAATACCACCTACGTTCCTTTTTTTTGGCCTACATAATTAAAACCACCTATGGTCTTAACTGTTCCTCTGGTCCTTTGGTGCATTTTGCCAAGATGTTCGGACTTTCACTTTTTGCCAACTAATGGGTTTTCCGAATTAAGCCGCAAACAGTTCTTCACTTTTAACAGGGGAGCAGATCTCGCAACCGAGACTCGGTTCCTACTTGTCTTTTCTTTTTTGAGGCCTATATAAGTAATACCACCTATGTTCTTTTTATTTTGGCCTACACAATTAAAACCACCTATGGTCTTACAACTGTCGTATAAAAAAAAATGTCAGTGGAATGACAGCGGACAGAGATACACCTCGAGGACTCGGAGCCTTGCTCTTCTGCCTTGGCACTGCTGCTTTGCCCCCTTCATGGTTGTTGTTGGGGGAAAAACGTTTTTTGCTAAAAAAGTTGGTACCCTTGTTCTAACCTTGGGAAACATTTTTGTTTGTTTAAGTGTGTTTGTTTTAAACGTGTTTTGATTTAAAAAAGACCAAGTTGGTACCCTTGTTCTAAGCTCTCTACTGGAGGACCACTTATTGTGGTTTAGTGGTTGGAATGCAACCACTTGGCTGCTGGAATGTGAGACATGTTGCTCCCCTTCCAACGTCAACCAAGCCTTATGTTGTACAGTCCACTAGCCAATCAAAAGAGACAGCGTATTTACCAAAATTGCACGGATGCCACAGTTGCCCATGCTACGCTTCAAAGTCAAAATCCCTCGGTACAGTGCAAACACCCTCCAAGTGCAATGTGTGGTTTGTTCTTT